GAGGTTTTTGCTATAGGGCGTATGCGCTCGCCAGACAGAGAGAGACAGAGAGACAAAAAGCAAGAAATCACCCCCCCAGGGCGGATGGCCACACCACAATCTCCTCTCCTCCATTCTCCTCTCGGGATCTTGGGCATGCACGCACACGCGCCCGGCGTGAGTTTCAAGCCACCGGGTCCGGGACGCGAACTGCGGTCGACTACATGCGAGTCCAGCGACATAGCCATTACGCTAACTGCTGGTCCCAAGATTCCTTTTTAAAAAGGTTTATTTATTGCTTTCTTTCCATAGTTGGGGGTTGGGGGGATTCCCTTAACAGGATCTCTGTCCTCCTCAGCCCTGAGTCCCATGGCCAGCCAGATGACAGGTGTGTTCAGCATGTTCAGGTTGGCCCAGGACCTGAACCTTACTATATTGTTGTAACATCATGCAGCAGCGCCCCTGCCCCTGGCACAACTGTGGCTAGGCCAAGATTCTCATATGTGGGCACTCCTCACTAAATGATCAAGTTCTGTTCCTATAACTTGGTGGACAAGCAAAGAGCTTAAAAGGCTTGTCTTCTGATGTGCCGTGGTGCCACAGAGTATGTGTTTTTCAATAGTTGTCACGTGCCACCACGTTAGAATAACGTAGTTCTACCTGTACTAAAAGCATGCATTAGATAAGCTCCAGACACAGCACAGCACAATGACATAAATCTGGCATAATCGTTTTTATTTATTCTGAATACTTTTTTTTTTTTTAGAATTTTTGCTATAGGGCGCATGCGCTCGCCAGAAAGACAGAGAGAGACAGAGACACAGAAAGTGAGAAATCACCCCCCCAGGGGGGGATGGCCATATCGCAATCCCTTCTCCTCCACTGTCCTCTTGGGATCTTGGGCACACATGCACACGCGCCTGGCATGAGTTTAAGCCACCAGGCCCGGAACTTGAACCACGGTCGACTACATGGGAGTCCAGCGACATAACCGTTATGCTAACTGCTGGTCCCTATTCTGAATACTTCTGTGGGTGCACAATAAAGTACAAATTTATAAGCAAAATGTGTAGTTTTGTGTGATCGTGAGTGCTTCGCAAATATTAACCTACTATGAGAATGAGAACAAGAACGAGACAAGGAATGAGAAAGGGGATTCCCAAAACTCATGGACTGAGAAAGGGGCTTCCGAAGGGTGAGACCTGATGGTGTTAAACAGATAGATCATTAAGTGAGGAGAGGCTGCATAGCCAAGAACAACGGAAAAGTAAAAAGGCCCAAGGGAGAGTAAGATGAACAAGCAACCCTGGAGTAAGCTTTACATCTCACTCAAGTGTTCATTATCAGACCACTAGTGAGGGAAGCAAGGATGGTGATGATTCCAACTTTATAAAAAAGGCAAATGAGGGACAGCAGTTGGCTCAATGGCTCTGTCGCTGGACTCCCATGTACTCAACTGCGGTTTGAGGCCCAGACCCGGTGGCTTAAACTCACGCCGGGCGCATGTGCATGCGTGTCCAAGATCCCAAGAGGAGAATGGAGGAGAGGGGATTGTGGCGTGGCCATCCCCCACTGGGGGTGATTTCTCGCTTTCTGTCTCTCTGTCTCTGTCTTTCTGGCAAGCGCTCACGCCCTATAGCAAAAACCTCTCAAAAAAAAAAAAAAAGGTAAATGAGATTCAGAAAATGGAAGCGACTAATCGCAAATTTTTTTTTTTTTGAGAGGTCTTCGCTATAGGGCATGTGCGCTCGCCAGACAGACAGACAGAGACAGAGACAGAAAGCGAGAAATCACCCCCCAGGGGGGATAGCCACGCCGCAATCCCTTCTCCTCTATTCTCCTCTCGGGATCTTGGGCACGCACGCAGACGCGCCCGGCGTGAGTTTTAAGCCACCGGGTCCAGGACGTGAACTGTGGTTGACTACGTGGGAGTCCAGCGACATAGCCATTACGCTAACTGCTGGTCCCATCGCAAATTATTAAGTCTTGGAGCACTTAGGACTCAAATCCAAATCACATGTGCTTTTTCTGTTTTTTTTTTTTTTTTTTTTAATTGCATATGCTTCTTTGAAAGGATATATGCTTTAGGACTTGTGCGCTTGACAGAGAAGACAGAGAGGGAGAAGTGAGAAAGTATCCCCCAGGGGGGATGGCCATGCTGTCATCCTTTTTTTTTTGGAGAGGTTTTTGCTATACGGCGCGTGCACTCACCAGACAGACAGAGAGAGACATAGACACAGAAAGCGAGAAATCACCCCCCGGGGGGATGGTCACGCCACAATCCTTTCTCCTCCATTCTCTTCTCGGGATCTTGGGCACACACGCACACGTGCCTGGCATGAGTTTTAAGCCACCGGGTCCGGGACTTGGACCATGGTCGACTACGTGGGAGTCCAGTGACATAGCCATTATGCTAACTGCTGGTTCCCCGCTGTCATCTTTTCTCCATTCTCCTCTTGGGATTTTGGGGATGAACATGCCTGGCATGTGTTTCCAGCTGCCCGGTCCAGGACTCAAACTGTGCAATTAGTCATGTGGGATCCAGTTGCTACTTAACCGCCCTGACACCAGCTGGCTCTGCATGTCCTTTTATTATATCACCATGCAACTTTGGATTAGCTTATGACATGAATCTGCTGAAACCTTTGCTCCCCAGGGTGCTGACCAGAGTATTACTGAATACATAGAGTTCTTCTAATTAAACCTGCCAAGCCAGAATGCTGGTGTACAGCCTGGCTCTGGAGTGCTCAGGCTTGTCTTCCTTTTCTCAGAATAGATTTATATCTATTAATCTGCAATGTAGTGCTTAAGACTATGGACTCTTCGGCCAGATGACTAGCTCACACTTAATTGCCGTGAACTGGGCAAGTTACTTTGCTCTCTGGGTCTCATTTCCTTGTACTGTAAAACAGAGACGATAAGAACATCTACCACATAAAATTGTTGTGAAGATGAAGTGAGTTTATGGAAAATGCTATATAAAGGTTAGTTATCATCCATCAGTTTGCCACATGTTTTCATAAATGCACTATAAACTTTATACATCTATAAATATGTTTGTGAAACCTCCGGTTAGACAATAAAAGATAAGAAACACTTCATCTTTAGGAAACTACTATACTCCTTTTATACCGTACTTTGCACATATTGGAGGCTTAAAAAAAATCTTTAAATTGAACTGAAGCAAATACCAGCACTGAAAAATTGTAGTCCCAAATCTTTCAGACTCAAGGTATGATTTTACAAGCGTTTTTAAGTTTCCTCCTCACTCATCGCATAGAGCAGAGACCAGGAAAAGTAAAAGTAACCAATTCCCATAAAACTCAGATGAGGAACCAGCTGGAACCAGCTGATGGCGTAATGGTTATATCACTGGATTCCCATCTAGTTGACTGTGGTTTGAGTCCCAGACCCGGTGGCTTTAACTCACACCGGGTGCCTATGCATGTGTGCCCAACATCCCAAGAAGAGAATGGAGGAGAAGGAATTGAGGCATGGCCATCCCCTCCCCCCCCCGGGGGGGATTATATCTTGCCTTCTGTCTCTCTTTCTCTGTCTCTCCTGTGAGTGCACATGCCCTGTAGCAAAAATCTCTCTCTTAAAAACGAAACAAAACAAAACTCACACATGAAAAAACAGATGAGAGTTAAAACTAGTTCTGAGAAAGTACAATACTTTGCATTCTGGTGCTCGATGTTTAGGTCATTAGGTGTATTTTCTTTGCACAAGGCCAACTCCCTAACAGACCTAGGAAGTGAACAGGACTTCCCAAAGTTCTTATCCGCTCCCTTTTTTAGATTGAAGTCCGCCTGATGGGCCCATACTCCTGGGCAAAGAGCGAGGCCCATCATGAGGTGACCCAAGTAAAGAGGAAATAAATGAGACTACGAGCAAGTGTGATAGAAACCCTTAACCCGACTACCAGACTGAAGACCAGATGCACCTGCTCTCTCCCGCCCTCCCGCTCACCCGCTCCAGGCCCCGCCCCTCCCGCTCCAGGCCCCGCCCATCTGCTTCGGGCCCCGCCCCTATGTCGCCCCACCTGACCCTGGAGTTGCCTCAGCGAGGGAACTGTGTC